CTCATTCCTGTTATCAAATGAAATATTCCCCCTAGCCGGGTAATGAAACATTTGCAAGAAAACAACCAAGCTCAGAGAACCCCAAGGATTCCACACATAAAAGATGTTATTTCCATGAAACCTACACATAATGAAAATCACCCATATGTAGATTCACATGGGATAATTTTACACAGAGCAAGAATAGCAATGCTTCTTATGTATCTGAGATTGCTGCTCCCATCATCTCAGTTATGCTGACTGAGGCAAATATGAACATTTAGACTGTTGAACCTGGTTGCCCACTCCTGGCTTAAGATTCTTTGGGGATATAATTTATATATAATGAAATAATTATCAACAAATCAAATGCAATCATATCTATTACTGAGCCTAACATATATTGCACTTGTACTTTGCCAGGTATTTTACATTTACCAACAATCCTTTGGAACAGTTGTGCATTATTCCCATTTAAAAAATGAAGAACACTGTCTGAGACTATCTGCCAAAACTACAGACTGCTTACTAACTGCAAAATCCAACTTGGAGCATTTATTTATGTACATTGGCTCTTCTACAAGTAGTTATATTTTTATAAATAAATGCATTTCACTGTTAGTCCCAGACAGTAATTTAAGCAATTACAATTAGTTCCTATGCATTTTATTCATAAATAATGGCCAAGAAATTCAATATAGAAGTTACTTTAGCTGACATCTATTGCTCTCAGAAAGCTAATTAAGACCTAGTTAATTGCTGATCCTGGTTTAATGGAGACTACCAGGGCTACAGGCTTAAACTGGATGTCAAAAATGTCCCAGAAAAAAGCAGTGACTAACCATTTCTGTAACTCTACCAAGAAAACTGTATGGATGCACCCATTAAATCCATAGGAGCTAAGCTTGATTAAAGAAGACTATATCTAGTCTGTGCCCATTTAAATACAATCCACTTAATTCTTTCAAAATAACACATGGAAGTGTTTTAATTTTAGCTGGCAGTGCCTTATTTTGCATTCAATTCTCTTTCTGTAAAACCTACACTTAATTGCATATAGAATTATTTCTTCTGTAATGGATTTGTCTTTCACTGTCTTCTTCCAGAATGGCAGAGTCCCTTGGAATTATTTAAAACGAACTTCAGTCATCTGCAGGTATTGACCACAATACATCAATACACAATGCAGGACATCGAAGGGGCTTGTAGGCGAGCGGGACGAATGAAGAAAATAGATTACGACACCACTCACTGTGGATTACAATCCCTTCCAAGCAAATTTTACGGGATAGAAGAATTACTCTGAACATAGCCGATCCGATTACGTACTCTAAAAAAAAATACCACCCTCGGTGCGTGCCCGGCCCGGATTAAGAGCGGCGAAAGGGGGCGCTGATTAGAAGCAGAACACGTGCGGCGGGGGAAAAGCCGAGACCCCCGGTTCCGCTGGTGACGCACTGGATGACGCGGTGGGCGGGCGTCTCGCCTTCTTCCGGAAACAAAGGCGTAACCCGGGCCTGGCGCTGTCGAGACGCGGCACGGCGCTGAGGGGGAAACGCGGTTCCGGAGGGCGGCTGGCGCGAACTCTTTAAGATGTTCCGCGGCCTGAGCGGCTGGCTGGGGATGAGTTGGGCGGAGGAGGAAGAAACAGCGTCTCCCCCCGAAGGGGAAGCCGGGACTGGCGGGGAAGAAGAGGAGGTTGCTGGAAGAGACGCGACCCCGCGGAGCCACGAAGAGGAGGGACTGAAAGGGGGGCCGGGCCTGGACCCAGACCCTCCCCTTCTTCAGGCCAAACGGTGCGGCAGAGAGGGTAGTGTGACTCCACCTCTGCACC